GGGACCCGGGCCCTGCCGTGGCCCCAGCCCAGCCCTCCCCAGTGTCCAGCAGGAGAGCCAGGACTGCCACAGCCTCAGCCTGGTAGCTGGGGAGTAGGGTGAGAGCCGGGGCTGCCACACCAGTGCCTCAGCCTAGTCCTCCCCGGTGACCTGGGCTGCCTATCCCCAGAAATAGGGGGTTGGAGAATGTAGCGAGTAGGGGGAGGAAGCCCCCTAGTTTCTCATAAAATAGAAAGGGAGGAGTCTGGCAGGAGGGAGTGAAACTGGAGAATGAGCACGGAGGGCATTAAGGGGGACTAGGACAGATATAACTCTTTTATGCCAGCATGGGTCTGGGGTGGAAAAAGGGACCGCTATCTACAAAATATTTCAAGGAGTTTGCCTGTTTGTGTATCTGTCTGTCCTCCAGACAGGGGACATGCACCCCTCCTTCGACTGTGCCCACTGCAGGTTCTATTCACCTGGCCCCAAGCTGCTGTGGTGAGAAAGGGCTGGGGTTTTCCTCTCTCCCCGGTGCTGCCTGAATACTGACACTCATCCCCAGCTCAACTCCAGAATAATGATTTAAATGGAAAAAAAACAAAACATATTTGAGTTAAGGAACCAAATAATACTGGGTAACTCTTCTACTATACAATACAGCACAACTTCGCAGGTCTTCTGCACTATGGATGTCTTTTCTTTAAAATATATTAACTTGTATTTTTCGTATAGATGAATCACACCCAAATTAGCTTTTTCAAGCTATAGCTCCCCCACAAAATGAAGTTAACATAGTTTTTGCACATGTACATTGACGGGTGTGCCTTCTCATGGAATGATCAATATTGCTATAACAAAACTGGCCTGGATTAAGGGTACTGAAACATGGAGTGGGTTTGGGTGAATATATGTATGGGTAGTCTCTTGTTTATTTTGTAATTTTTAATTTATGGATACCATGCCAGAGAAGTGGATGGATGCCAACACTTGCACTTCAGAAATCTAAAAAATAAATAACATACTGGTTAACATTTCTCTTCATTGCTGATGTAGTTCACTATCTATCAAGATATACTAATTTATAAAATGTTCCCTTCAGCATAATCCAATTGTTTTAAGAGTAAAAATGTCTTTCAGTGTATGTTTGTTAAAAAAGATCAATGTTCACATGAAGCCTAAATTCTCACTATGAGAAAAAAATCATACACTCTGTATTAGGTGATATTTGGAAAGGAGGCCAACTCTCTCATGACTTCCAGATGACCTGCCAGCATTTCAACTTTAACTTTTTGTTTTTCAGCAATAAAAATGTGCAAATGTAAATGTCATTTAAAGCCTATTACATTTCTAAAGAAAGAGTTAACTCTAAATTTGAAGACACAGTAAAAATATATTTTTTTAGAATAGAACATATGTTTACCACATACCTTAAACATAAAAGAATTGCAAAAAAACTCATATTTGAAAGTCCATATATATAAGATAAAATTAGAGTATAGGAGAAGTCCACATGAACTAACCAGCACAAAAGATGGCCTGACAATTGAAGTGCAGTCTTAGAGTTAGTTAAAATAGCAGCAGTTTTCCTATAAAGAATTACTCCATTTGTACCCAGCTTCCTGCTGGGTTAATGTGAACTAAATTGTTATTTTGCTTAAATGTATGCCCTTCTAAATTGAAAAACATGTTCTCCTAGAATATCTTACTAGGCTAGGAAGAGGTGTTTAATTATATACACCGCACTGAAGTAAAGTTAGTCGTACACCTTTTTAACTCTGATCAAAGTGTGTAAAGCTATTACAAAATTATAATGGTACTTTCACATACAAGGAAAATTCTGTAACCAAGAAGTCAGCTTCAGCTTCTTTGCTGCTCTAGCAATACTTCCCAGGATGTTCCCCAACTTTTGGAAAAGATATGGCAACAATAATTTAGATTCACATTAAAATAAAAGTCTGATCTTTCATAAAGGCAAAAAACAAAAGTTGAGGTAGTTACACAAGGAATATGGTCAGACTGATTACATCAACCTTTGATTAGAAGACTATTGCGAAGACATTTGAGCTCAGACTGGTGAGTTCTAAAGAAGGAGCTAACTCTCAGCTTCAAGGACCCTTCCCTCTCATGGAGTCCAAGGGTTTAAGCTGCAGCCTGAGCTGGAATGCCTACATTACAATTGTACAGCTTCACAGCCCAAGTCTTGCAAGCCTGAGTTAGCACAGCCAGGTCAATCATAGGTGTTTAGTTGTGGCATACATATACCCACAGGATCATGAAAATGAAGTTCTGAATTGCTCTCACCTGACATTCTTCGGAGATTATCATCACTGAAAGCAGTAAGTACAACACCAATTAAAGTGGTTTCATATGGCCACTTCTTACACAAGCAAACAGCAACAGTGGCCTGCCTTTAGATCTTTTTTTTCTAAGAAGTTTGTCATAGTGATATAAAACTTGTGATTTTGGATTTTTTGCTGAAGAGCTTTCCTGGGAGATTTCTGTTGAACCAGACAGCAGTCTTCTGTTTGTTCACATTTACATAAAATTAATCTTTTAAATGAATCGGCTATGTCTTTACATTTACCTCAGAT